CAATAGTTAAGCTTAAATATTTCCAACACAAAAAATAGGTAGGTTCAAATTTCAGAGATAAACAATAGTTAAGCTTAAATATTTCCAACACAAAGAATAGGTAGGTTCAAATTTCAGAGATAAACAATAGTTAAGCTTAAATATTTCCAACACAAAGAATAGGTAGGTTCAAATTTCAGAGATAGACAATAGTTGGTTTCCATTATTTCAAATTTAGATAATAGCTGGGATCTTGTGTCGCAAGCCTTTTGCAATGGTTTTCTTGCAATATCACAAACCTCACCAATAGTTAGTTCAATGTAACAAAGTTAGCTGATAATTTGGTTCTATGCAAGAAAGCTAATCACATAATTAATTATTATTTCAATTTCAGTATCAAAAATTCAATCTCAACTAACAATTATACTTTTGTGTGAAAAATAACCCAACGATGATTTACACCATCACAAATCTATTGTCAAATATTTAACTTGGAGTACAGATATAATGATACAAACTTAGTTAACAGTTGGATTCCAGTGTTTGAACGTAGCCATAATCTAGTGTTACAAACAAATCAAATAGTTATACTCTCGCATCAATAGTTAGATTAAATACTCACAAATGTAATAAATGTATCGATTCTGGTGTGACAAACTTAAATAACATTAGGTTTTAGTTTACAGTAGACTAATTTTTTTTTCCATTTTAAATGTAATTATTAAAATCAAGCATCGCGTAAAAAGAATTTAAAAATTTATGATGTAAATAGTTTGATTTTGGTATCACAAACGCAAAAACGTTTGGTTTCTAAAATACAACAATTAACCAATGTTTACGTCCTAGAGTTACTAACTTAATCGCTAGTTAGGTTCCAGAGTTACAAACTTCATCACTAGCTAAATTATAGGGTCACAAACTTAATTATTATTTAGGTCTTATGATAAAAACTTAATCAGTAGTTAGGTTCCAGAGTTACAAGCTTAATCACTAGTTAATTTCTAGAGTTGCAAACTTAATGTCTAGTTAAGCTCTACAATTATACGCTTAATCAATAGCTAGGTTTACCTACTTAATTGGTAGTTGAATTTTAAAGTGTTAAACTTAATCTCTGGTTAAGTTCCAGAATTTAAAACGTAAATCTAGTTATGTTATAAAATTACATTAATTTCTAGCAAATTTCTGGAGTTACAACTTAATCACTAGCTGTTTTCTAGAGTTGCAAACTGAATTACTAGTTAGGTTTTACAGCTATGAACTTAATCGCCGAGCAAAGTGAAATGTGGGAAAAGATGGAATGACGTCATGATAGACCACATGACAACCCGGAAGTGTTTGGATCAGCTTCCAAAGGTTTGTTGCAGGTGTGACTCATTTTCATTGTGCAGTACAACAAGAATCAAGAACGCTAGATACTAAAGAGATTAGAAAGGTGTTGTTTAAAAAAGAAAAAATGTCAAGGGAAAGTAGACTAACTATTAATAAAGTAAAACAAAGATATTGTATCGCTTAATAAGAAAATGTTAAGTAGATAAAACTAAAAAAAGATTAAAACTAACGTTGAAAATAGTTATAAAAGACTAATAAACATAAAGAAAAATGAAAGGTAAAAATAAAAAAACTTCTGTTGTCTCTTTCCAGAAGAGAAGTCTTAAAGCCGTCAGTTATGTTCTACAATTACAAACTTAATCCCTAGTTAGGTTCTATAAATGCAAATGTAATCACTAGTCAGGTTCTAGGTTTACAAACTTAATCGCTAGTTAGGTTGTATAGTTGCAAGTTTAATCACTAGTTAGGTTCCAGTGTTCAAAACTTCGTCGCTAGTTAGATTGTGTAGTTACAAATTTAACCACTAGTTACTTTCTGTGGATGCAAGCGTAATCAATAGTTATTGTCTAGAGTTACACATATAATTACTAATTAGGTTCTATATTTACAAACTTAATTGCTAGTTAAGTTCTGTAGTTACAAGCTTAATTACTAGTTGAGATCTGTAATTACAAGCTTAAGTACTATTTAGTTTCTATATTTACAAACTTAATCGCTAGTTAAGTTCTGTAGTTACAAGCTTAATTACTAGTTAAGATCTGTAATTACAAGCTTAAGTACTATTTATTTTCTATATTTACAAACTTAATCGCTAGTTAAGTTCTGTAGTTACAAGCTTAATTACTAGTTAAGATCTGTAATTACAAGCTTAAGTACTATTTATTTTCTATATTTACAAACTTAATCGCTAGTTAAGTTCTGTAGTTACAAGCTTAATTACTAGTTAGGTTCAATACTTACAAACTTAATCGCTAGCTAAGTTCTGTAGTTACAAGCTTAATTACTAGTTAGGTTCAATACTTACAAACTTAATCGCTAGCTAAGTTCTGTAGTTACAAGCTCAATTACTAGTTAGGTTCTAGAGTTGCAAACTTAACAGTCATTTGGTTCTAGATTTAGAAAGTTAGTCAATAATTAAACATTAGAGTAATAACTATTACTAATAATCAGATTCTATTGTCACAAACCTAACCAACAGTTAGGTACCAGAACTGAAAACTTGATATAATCAGGTTCTTGAGTCATACAACCTCAACAAATAATTGTATTCTGGAGTCACAGACTTAATTATAAATTAATATCATTTAAGTTACAGAGTTGGAACCTCAATAATTAGTTGCCCTAGTGGCACAAAAAATGACAATTAGTGATTTTCTGCAGTTAGAAACGTAACTAGAAGTTAGGTTATAAAGTTACAGCCTCAACAATTAGTTATGTTTTAGTGGTACAAAACTTTACAATTAGTTGTTCTGGAGTCAGAAACCTAACTAGAAGTTAAGTTATAAAGTCATAGCCTAATGTTTTTAATGTTACTTGTCATAGCCTCAACAGTGAGATATTTACTAGTGGCACAAAACATTACACATAAAGTCAGAAACGTAACTAGAACTTAAGTTATAGTCACAAACCTCAACCAATAGTTAGGTTCAAATTCGGTGACGAGGAACCCACTTTGAGACTAATAATGGCTGGAGACATGATGATGACAAAACCTTGTCGAAACGTTGTACATTTGCTGTTATGTTAAACTTATATTAAAGTTTTTCTTCATTACCCATTCAAGCCGTCTCCAGCCATCAATAGGTAGGTTGTAGCGAGACAAAAACGATTCAACAGTTCAGTTATAGTGTCACAAATTTAGTCAGTTGTTCAGCATAATATTACTCAATGATAAAGTTATAGGGTCTCAATTTTTACAGATTGTTGGAAATTAGTATCAAAACATAACCAATAAATATGTTTTCGAATCATAGACTGAACCAATAGTTCACTTCTAGAGTCACAACTTAAGTAATTGATAAGTTGCATTGTACAAACTTTACCAAAAGTTAGAACTTAGTGTTATGTTCTAATATTACAAAACGTAACAAGTGTTATGGTCTAATGCTACAAAAATTAACAAGTGTTATGTTATAATGTTACAAAAAATAACAAGTGCGTGTTTTAGTGCTACATAATTTAACTGATAGTTAGGTCACATACCAGTAGAAAGGTGTTAGTGTTACAAAACTTAACTGATAGTTATGTTCTGGTGTTACAAACTTAACAAGTGTTACGTTCTAGTGTTACAAAACTTAACAAGTGTTACAAAACTTAACTGATAGTTATGTTCTGGTGTTACAAACTTAACAAGTGTTACGTTCTAGTGTTACAAAACTTAACTGATAGTTATGTTCTAGTGTTACAAACTTAACAAGTGTTACGTTCTAGTGTTACAAAACTTAACAAGTGTTACAAAACTTAACTGATAGTTATGTTCTGGTGTTACTAACTTAACAAGTGTTACGTTCTAGTGTTACAAAACTTAACAAGTGTTACAAAACTTAACTGATAGTTAGATTCTAGGTCACATACCAATAATAAGGGTTAGTTTTGGGAATTGTACCAAGAGTGTAGTTCGATAATTATAACCCTTATTCAGGTTTCATTGTTATGACATGAACAAGTGATTAATGTTTAATGTTACAAACTAGGGTAACATATACATAGCTGTTTATTGCAGAGTAGGAGTGTCCCCATCTCTAAAGTCGTTATCACTGTGTAGCTAAAGTACACATGCGCCTCTGCTGATGTGTGGGAACACCTGGGGGCGAGCTAAGAGTCCTGCAGAAAAGACCGTATTGATTTATGATGTTGTGCTCAGAATGATTCACCATTATCAGTATCTTAGGTTGTATAACTGAAATATTGCTTTCTGCCTTCCTTCTGTAATCAGAGGTGTAACGAAAGGAACGGGGAGCTGGTCTGTCTTCGCGAGCACGTTACTACTTTCGTAAGTTAGTTAGTCACATGTTTGGGGAGTTGAATTACATTCCGGTAGCTACAAGTTATAAATGTCATGAAAGTGTCTCAACTTTTGTGGGGAGGACAGTTTTATATTACTTACATTATGTTTCCTCTTCTGATTGTTTAAAATGTTTAATTTGGATTTATGTATTTTTACCTTTAATATTCTAGCTTGGTATTATGCATTTTTTTATATTTGTCTGTGTTTTTGTTGTTACGTTGCCAAAATGCTCCTAATCATTCATGTGTTTCTAATTAAACCAAAAGATAAAGAAAAAAACGTGGATATGTACCATAAACTTAAGATGAAGGTCGCAGCTTGGCGTACTTTTGTATTTTTGTGTGTACTTTATAAAGGTTCAAATATTCTTAATATTTGGTTTTAAGTGTGAACTTCAAATACATACATATTAGTATCAAAATCCTTTCTCAAACCTCACACAAGAATAGTCGTTGCTTAAAGATCAAGTAGAGTATAGTATCATTGCTTGATGATCAAGTACAGTATAATGTCGTTACTGGATTATCAAGTACAGTATAATGTCGTTACTGGATGATCAAGTACAGTATAATGTCGTTACTGGATGATCAAGTACAGTATAATGTCGTTGCTTGATGATCAAGTACAGTATAATGCCGTTACTGAATGAACAAGTACAGTATAATGTCGTTGCTTGATGATCAAATACAGTACAATGTTGTTACTTGATGATCAAGTACAGTATAATGTTGTTACTTGATGATCAAGTACAGTATAATGTCGCGATTTGAAACTTTCCTTACTCAAATAGGGCAGGAAATAGCACAGAGACTAGGGTGCCGGACTGTGAATTTGAGTGCTTATAGTTCGCATCATGCTGCCGTCAAACCGCGGTCTACACTTTCGGGCTGTAGGTGCGATAGAAGAGTGACGGCCAATTCCCACTATTTGATTAAGATAACCTAACAGTTCGGGTTGGATGCTTTTGGCTAGCCGCCTCCGTTCTAATCTATCAGCGGAAAATTATGCTCAGCTAGCGCAGATCTTCCAAGTGTAGCTTTGCGTGAATATCCAAAACAAACCCCATTCTAATCTTCTCAGTTCCCTGTAAAAAATGTATTACAAACCCTATTCTAATCTTCTCAGTTCCCTGTAAAAAATGTATTTTTTGCATAATAAAACCCTGGTACTGAGGAGATCAGTATTGGAATGAATCGTCTAATAATTCGAACATTTGAATTTGGTGACCTCTATGGGTTTTTTTTTTCATTAAAAAAACGTTTGATTTGGAATTGAGTTACTTTGTTTTGACAGCTAAAAAGTTTATTTTAAGGTTACTTGTTAGGGTTTTTTCCCGCTTTTTTTGCCCAAAGTGCGTTTGCTTTAAAATTGAGTTATTGTGTTTTGGAAGCTAACACATCGTTTTTAATGTTACTTGTCAGTGCCTTTTTTTTGTTTGCTTTTGTGCCTATTGTGCATTTGCTTTAAAATTGAGTTACTGGGTTTTTTGTTATACAATTGTATTTGCATGTGTTATTTATCTAACAGTTTTACTTACTGGGAAGTTGAATAAAACATATGTTAAGAGTTAAATCGTATTTAAAGCTTTTGAGCACCCTTCGAAGTGGTTAACGTACTTATCCAAACTTACTTTCTTGACAAAGAAATATATAGCAGTAAATATTTCTCTGAAATTATAAAGGAGCCCGAACGACAAGGTAAAACACATTGTTGTTAACTCTCTACTATCGGTGGATGATCGCTGACTTTATAAGGCGGTAATGAAACGCTATGCAAACTATCGACATTTACGTCTGACCTAACTATACGTATTGGAAACTCTAAATGTCTGCTTCTGAAATCAGAAACTTTAACTCTTTCATTGATTGTTAAATAAGATTTCCTGTACAACATTACTTGTTCAAGCATTGCTTTTAACTTCAAAGCACGTCTGTTTTAACCAGGAGTAGACGTGGGTTTCATTCTAATCAGTTTGGTTGAACATAAGTGGCACTGGTTTTAAGCGTCTTGTTCTATTTCATATCACTAAAGGGACATCATGTATCTAACTGATTTCACAAGAAAGAACATAATTTATGTGAAAAATGTAGAAATAACACTTCATAACAATCTAAGCTTCAAACAAATAGAAGAGCGAAAGTCTTTGTTTTTAGTTTCATTGCCAAGAGATATATATTTCTCTAGCTCTCAAAGATTGGAAAACTGGATTGTAATTCCAAACAATCGCTCACAATTAGGAAAGTCTTTGTTTTTAGTTTGATTGCCAAGAGATATATATTTCTCTAGCTCTCAAAAATTGGAAAACTGGATTGTAATTCCAAACAATCGCTCACAATTAGGAAATTCTTTAGTTTTTTAAACTCTTTTTCTTCACAGGTCCCTGTTTGAATTTCAACATGAATAACAAACCGATACTGTTAGACAGTGATAAAATTTGAAAATACGAATAAGTTGTTTAACTCATTGTTAAGTAGGAAAAATAATTTTGTTTGTTGTTAAGCGCAAAGTTACACAATAGGCCATCACTAGTATCGAAAACCAGTTTTTAGTGGCGTGGGCCACAAGACCTCCAGCTGAGCCACTTGGGGGCACATAATAATGTGGTTGATATTTCGATGCTAGCTAGCTCACTGGGAGCCCTTAACACTAATTGGACCTACTCGCTCATCCCCTAAAAATACTAATTGCAATATTTCCGCAAACCAAAATACACCAACACGACACATAATAATACGCTTCTTGAAAATAATGTCTATCACACATTAACACCAACTGCGCCTATCACACATTAACACCAACTACGCCGGTATGTTTTTCAAACCGTGCACACTATGTGTATACTGCCCTTAGCAACCAATTAGCGCAAGCGCACCACACTCGTGCCTAACTGAGAAGTGTTGCAATATTTAAACATTCATCCGTTACTAAGTGATGCGTTTTTGGATCGCGTTATTTGTAAACACGTTATTTTTCAAATGAGTAAAAGAGGCAAAAGTTAAAGTTCTGATTTTTTAAAAACCCGCGTAATTTGGGGCCCCTTGAGCTTAGTCTGCTTATGCTTAGCGCAACCATTTTATACATCTAAATTATAATGGTTTTAGTGCTTTTTATTCTGTCACTTCTTAAAAGAAATGGAGTGTTAATATTGTTTTTAGTCCATCATAAATAGTAAATTAGTACAATGTTAGAATTTATTTACAGGAGTTAGACTAAAAAAAGAAACACCTGCTTAATGTGTTCATTCTTCTTCAAATGTTAGATGGAGTAGATCTTCAGCTGACTTAATATTTCTTTTATTAATTGACCGCTTAAACATGTGATCCGTATTATTTAAACATACGCAAGCTCCATTGCGCGTTAATTGTCAAGCAACACTAAACTGACTTTCAAAGAGGACGGAATGCAAGACCTAATTAATAAGCGCTTTATGGGCCAAATTGCGCAACTTCTTAATTTTGCAAGAATATCAATATATAGTGCAACTATAACATAGAAATTATCTCATAAATCTCACCAGGAAACTCTAGCAGTGGTTGGAGGACCATGGTGAGTGAAGAGAAGCAATACTAAATGTTAATACAACATGGCGATTATCCATTAGTCTCATTCACTATGTAACTCTAACAGTGGTTGGAGGACCATGGTGAGTGAAGAGAAGCAATACTAAATGTTAATACAACATGGCGATTATCCATTAGTCTCATTCACTATGTAACTCTAACAGTGGTTGGAGGACCATCGTGAGTGAAGAGAAGCAATATTGAATGTTAATACAACATGTCGATTATCCATTAGTCTCATTCACTATGTAACTCTAACAGTGGTTGGAGGTTCATTGTGAGTAAAGAGGAACAATTTTAAATGTTACTACAACATGGCTATTATCCATTAGTCTCATTCACTATGTAACTCTAACAGTGGTTGGAGGTTCATTGCGAGTGAAGAGGAACAATTCTAAATGTTACTACAACATGGCTGTTATACATTAGTCTCATTCACTATGTAACTCTAACAGTGGTTGAAGGTTCATTGTGAGTGAAGGGGAACAATTCTAAATGTTACTACAACATGGCTGTTATACATTAGTCTCATTCACTATGTAACTCTAACAGTGGTTGAAGGTTCATTGTGAGTGAAGGGGAACACTTCTAAATGTTACTGCAACATGGCTGTTATACATTAGTCTCATTCACTATGTAACTCTAACAGTGGTTGAAGGTTCATTGCGAGTGAAGAGGAACAATTCTAAATGTTACTACAACATGGCTATTATCCATTAGTCTCATTCACTATGTAACTTTAACAGTGGTTGAAAGTTCATTGTGAGTGAGGAGGAACAATTCTAAGTGTTAATACAACATGGCGATTATCCACTAGTCTCATTCACTATGTAACTCTAACGGTGGTTGAAGGTTCATTGTGAGTAAAGAGGAACAATTTTAAATGTTACTACAACATGGCGATTATCCATTAGTCTCATTCACTATGTAATTCTAACAGTGGTTGAAGATTCTTTGTGAGTGAAGAGGAACAATTCTAATGTTACTACAACATGGCGATTATCCATTAGTCTCATTCACTATGTAACTCGAACAATGGTTGAAGGTTCATTGTGAGTGAAGAGGAACAATTCTAAATGTTAATACAACATGGCGATTATCCATTAGTCTAATCAACGTATTCTAACAGTGGTTGGAGAAGATCATCATGAGTAAATGTTCTCCTAAAAAGAACTGAAGCAGCTCTAATAGCCAAAGGTTGAACTAAACGCTATTAAACTGCTTCCACTGGGTGTTTCTAATTTTAACCCTAACCCATTTATTTGTTTATTTAACAAAATACAATGAAAAACTTTATTACATATACGTGCAAACATAACCACCCATAACGCAATAGAATGACAGCTTTATGTTTTGAACAGGACAAACAGGTATTTGAATACAAAGTGATTTTCAGAAGAAAAATAATAATCGCAAATTTAGGGTTAGAACATGAAAACGAACAAAACCACATACAAGCATGAGTTCTTCTAACTGAGCAAATCCAATAAAATACGAGTGGTAGTAATGAACTGTTTTGTGGTCATGAGAAGAATATGAATATATTTTCCTCTGTACAGTTACAGTTTGCATTAACTAAGCTAGATATTCTTCATTTGATATCGCTCTGCCCATAGCTCAACACGCTTCTGAGAACTTGTCTGATTTTCCAAGTAAGATCATTTCTCTAAAAAACTATTTGTTCTTATATCAGTATGTACTACATGCTATGTACAGTCGCCATATGTAAAATTTCTTTTGTTATTATTGTTTATAATAGGTTCACATTCCAGCAACAGTTTGGGTAGCCATGGCAACGTGCAGGTTCTTGCTCAAGTTTCTACTATGGGGAGTGGCTTTGATAACTATCTATGGGAGTTTATCCGTAAAAGGGTTCGCGTGGCAACGACCAGGTTGTCATAAAGTTGGTAAGTCTACACCTAATGAATGTGTATTATTATCCGAATACCTCTGAATCTCATTGGCTGCTCTTGTTAATTGTTGCTTGTGCCTTGGTTTATTTACTGAAACATACTGATGTAAAAATGGTAATTACTGTACGTTTTGTAATTGTTTTGCTAGTACAAGTAATATTTATTGCGTAATATCACGAAAGGCTTTCATGTAGCTCCTAATATACAACATACTTGCTATTATTTCTTACGAATCACCTGGAATACAAATGTAGCAGTTCGTTGTACAATAAAGAGCTCAGTTAATCTCATGCCTCACTAAACAAGCTAAATTTCCTTTAAAAGTAAGAGCTTAATTTACCTTATGCTAACAAATATCACACCAAACAGTAAAATATACCTTAGAGAATAAATTTTTTAACTTATATTATGTTAAAGAATACTTTATCAAACTAGGCATAACTCCTTAGAAAACCCGAAGTTGACTTTATGTTATACCAATGAATACCTCACAAAACAATACAGGATGTCTTAAAAACCTAAGAACCCAGATCTTCGTATACCAACACATCTCACAAGACAATACAGAAGTTCTTAAATTGATCTAATTTTACTAATTGGAAGAACAAACGTTAAAAAATTACAAAAGGAAAAAAACAAACAAAAATATCACTTTCTTAATCCGATTACTTCGGATCAAAACGTGTTTGACTAATAGATTACTTTATATTCTTGGCAGGAGAAAATTAATTGGGACAGTCATAATTATCAATATTATCGATTCTAAATCATGAGTAATCAGATTATTGCATAAGTTGTTGAATTGCTCTAATTAAATTATAACTTAACTCGGAATTGGAAAACTAGTTATTTTTAGAAATCTTATTTAAAAGAAAGATCATAAAATAAAAAAGTTACAGAAAACATGTTTTTATCTTTATTAATTCGAGCTTATTAGTATAAATTTGATGATGGCGTGTACCCCAACTTCGAAGAAAAAGTTTACTTAAGATCTCCTCTAAAAATGCCTGTGAGTTAGAAACCGACATGTTTGGTATTTTACAGAATGTTTACAGTCTTTTATTCAGGTTATTTCTTTCTAATCTCGTTAGGATGTTTTCTCTCTTCCGCCTCTTGAAAGTTGCACAGACTTTATTTTACAATTAAACATTAAAGTATCTTATTCTACTTAAACTTTAAAGTATCTTATTCTACTTAAACTTTAAAGTATCTTATTCTACTTAAAATTTAAAATATATTATTCTACTTTAAGTTTAAAGTATCTTATTCTACTTAAACTTTAAAGTATCTTATTCTACTTAAAATTTAAAGTATCGTATTCTACTTAAAATTTAAAGTATTGTATTCTACTTTAAGTTTAAAGTATCTTATTCTACTTAAAATTTAAAGTATCGTATTCTACTTAAACTTTAAAGTATTGTATTCTACTTTAAGTTTAAAGTATCTTATTCTACCTAATCTTTCAAATATCTTATTCTCCTTTAAACAAAGAAGCCTTCTCTATCTTTTACACTAATTTTTTTTATTGGATGAAACAAGCCATAAATTCTTATTGTTATCAAATTAACAAAACTAACATACGGATTATTGTATTTCAACGTATATCATGGTCTGTAAATAAAATAGTAAACAATTTTTCATTTACCTCAAAAGAATGAAAAAGACATACTTTTGTCCTTTGTATTTATATATATATATATATTTTGGTTCTTAAATACACACACACACATATATACATATATATATATATGATATATTTTGGATACTAGTTTCTTGTTTCAATTTTAGTCTTACATACTATTCAATATTTAGTATATTAAGATTTGTTCGGTTTCTAATTATTCATGGCTGTCTCGAGCAGCTCTTAACATTTATAGATATGATAATAAGTTTCACGAAGTGACGTGTAATTGTAGCTGATAAAGTCAATAATATTAACTATGTAGACACACTTCTGGACTCTTGAGATCTACCTGGTTTAACATGATGATAATTTAGTAAATTTTGTTATTAATATGGAACATGCTTTGATAAAATTAACGTTCCTGTTAATGTAAATCGTAACGATAGTAACTACGGTTAATGTAAATCGTAACGATAGTAACTACGGTTAATGTAAATCGTAACGATAGTAACTACGTGCGCCACGTAACAACGAATCATGGCTTGTAACTTTACACAATGAGATTCGTTTAGTTTTTGTTCCTCATCAAGACACACTGACTCATACTAGAAGACTTAAGACAGAAATAATGTCATAATATATGTCACACCTTTCAGTTTTCTGAACAAATAATCTCGTAATTCCTTAAATGTTTTACAGCAGCGAAACAAACTTTAACTTATTTGTGTTTATAATAAAGTAAAAAATTTAAATTTCATTCATTACCTCTGTTACTTTAACACAAGGTACACTGCATACAGAGATACACCAAGGTTTCTATTGTAGACTAGAAAGTTGTGCTTAATATTACAAATATTTTAGGTGCAAAATGTATGAGATTAAATGTCGATTCAGTAAATATTCATGTTATAGGCTTATAAAGATTAAACTTATACCATAGCATATATATTATTGTCTAGCTACTTGATGTTTTTAACGTTCAGTTTTTTTTAAGTATCACAAGGGATGTTGGAGCTATGACAAACTCAAAACAGACATCTGACAGACTCTTGACATCTGACAAGCTTTAGACTTAATTAGTAGTGATATTTTTTTCTACATTTCCTAGGATCAGAGACAGTGAAAAATGATTACGACGAGATTTTCATCTCATAATACTTTAGTTTCATTGTTTTTATCTTTCTGTAAGAGGTTCTCTTTGCTAAAGTCGTAGAAATACGATAAATTGAAGATTTATCCTTTATAAGATAAAGCTGATCCTTAAACTAACAGTTATTTTGGGAGTTTTTATGTTAATTTCGTAGAAATATGATAATGTAAAATTATTTTTAACCAAATAAGATAAGCAGTTTCTTCTTTCCATGTTTTTGTTTTGTTTTGTTTTCGATATTCGCGAAAGGCAACATAAGAGTAATGTGCGCTATCCGTCCCTAAATTTCAACTGATAGACTAGGTGGAAGTTTTGTGCTCTTCTATTCGAATTTTCCCTTCATTCTTATAAAGCGTCCCCTATGTATAGAGCGCGATTTTACAGTAACAGGATGCGAACCAGGGATTTCGGATTCACAGTCCGGAACGATAACTACTAAGCCACACTTGGCCCATTCGATGTGCTAAATTCGTAATAAAACATGTTGAAATGAAAAGAATTACCTATATATATAATAGCCAAATACCTGTCTGTCTGTCACGTTCTGTGTCTTCTGAACGATAAATTGCAGATAAATATATATATATATGTATATATATACCAAAATCCTTCTTTTCAAGAGTACATTTTTTACAATTCCTAAAATTTCATATTGATATCAACATCGAACCGTCAGTCTCCGTATGTGCTAAGCAGTCAATCTGAGAAAAAACGTATTAAGAACAAAATTGTTTCTTTTTGTGAGATAATTTCACGAGAAAAGGGGACTTCCTCTGTCAACAAATTGAAAGAAATATTTCTAAAATAGGAGCATGAATGGGAGTAACGTATAAAGAGAGGAATGTGTTTCCGTCTATATATGTTGTTTACTTATGACAGTATTACATACATGCGCGATTTTATTGCACCATGTCGACTAAATTGATTTGAATCGAATTGAACTGAATATCTCCCTTTCGGTAGTTATAGAAATGACAACTGTCAAAAAGCGCTCACTTCTGTAGCAATCTTTTCATGCGATCATTAAAACGACAAGAAACGGATGCATCCAGTAGAAAAAATCTCCGCGGCTACATAGCGAACCTGGACGCTCTATTATACTGGATGCAACTGTTTCATCAAAACCAAAACGTGTTTGCCATTGTTGTATATATTTGTTGTTGTTCGGTTTATATATATATTTTCATATCTGTATTATATACATGCATGATTTTATTGTACCATGTCGAATTTGTTGATTTGAATTGAATATTCCCACTTTGACACTTCTTATAGAAATGACAACTGTCAAAAAGCGTTTACTACGGTAGCGGTCTTTCCTTGCGTACAGTAAAATAACAAGGAACTGTGGCATCCAGTGGCTACATAGCGAACATGAGCGCTCTGTTGTGCTGGATGCACCCATTAAATCGAAACCCAAACATTTTTGCCAACAGTGCATTGCAGTCAGTCTCCTTCACTTAAAAACAAACGTAAAGCAATTTTCCTTATTGAAATCAGACATCGAATGACAAAAGACGGTTGTAAATGGTCCACTAAACAATCATATTGCATATAAGGAACTGGGATGACTGCACATTTTATATTTAATCATCACTATTTTTAGAAAAATTACTGTTAAATTCTGTTAGTATGTTATAAAATGAGATTGAGTTTTATAGCAACATCTTCCTTCTAATTTGTCAAAGATCATGTCCCAATAGTGAACCAAATTTCAGACCAAAAAAATATCTCTGGCGATAAAAAGGAAATCAAACCTAATTTGAACTCGAATTTTTCAGTGATAGAAATTCTTCTAAAAGTGTAAGTCAACTTTGCTTCTTGAATTTATGAACTTTTCTGCAGATTCCACCTGAAGATGGCTCCAACTGAGTGCCGAAAGTTTTATGTAGTTCTAACAGCGAACAGTATTTCAGTCAGAAAAAACTATGGTGATTTAAAAATTCAAACCTTATTCGTTATGTTCGTATAAGAACTGTTAAAGGAAAAAATATACCTGATAAAATGAAGTTTAGTTTTATAAAAACTTCTTTTTAGTTTGTCGAAGTTCTATATTAAGTTCGTAAAGGTAAACGACGAAAAGTCATACCTGATTAAATAAATTGACTGTAGTCTTGTAAAAGAATATATAACCATATTTGATGTGTCTGAAATTTTGCTTCTGATAACGTTTGGTCATGAGGTTTACGACCGATTATCTTACGATGAGAATCTGACAAG